GGCCTCAGCATGGCCGGAGAAGCGGTGCGTCGGTGCGCGTCCGGGGTCTGAACCCAGGCCACCAGCAGCGGAGCGCGCGCACTTAACCACTAGGCCATGGGGCTGGCCCTCTTGTTAAGATTTTTAAATGGGGAGATTTATTCTGGAAAGTGAAAACTATATAGACAAGGAGCATTTGGTTGCCCGGGGAGGAAGACAGATTGACTACAAAGGAGGGGATTAGCAAGAGAATTTGGGGCAGGGTGATGGAACTGTTCTGTACCTTGATTGGGGTGGTTCCATGATTTGTGTGGTTTGTCAAAATTCATAGAACTGTATACCAAAAAGAGTGGACTTTATGTGAATTAAAAAATAAAATTGAGGGGCCACCCTGGTGGCTCAGCGGTTAAGTGCGCAAGCTCTGCTTTGCCAGCCCGAGGTTCGCAGGTTCGGATCCCAGGCGCGCACCAATGCACCACTTGTCAAGCCATGCTGTGGCGGCATCTCATATAGAGTAGAGGAAGATGGGCACGGATGTTAGCCCAGGGCCAGTCTTCCTCAGCAAAAAGAGGAGGATCGGCATTGGATGTTAGCTCAGGGCTGATCTTCCTCACACACACACAAAAATTGAAAAATGCAAAAAACAAAGGAGAGGCTTTCACGTGAGTAGATTTCCATTTCTCTTTTTATTTTACTTATTTATTTTTTTGGCTGAGGAAGACTGGCTCTGAGCTAACATCTGTTGCCAATCTTCCTCTATTTTATATGGGATCCCTACCACAGCATGGCTTGATAAGTGGTGCATGGGTCTGTGCCCAGGATCTGAACGTGCAAACCCCGGGCCGCCGCAGCGGAGCACACGAACTTAACCACTATGTCACCGGGCTGACCCCTCAATTTTTTTTGTTTTTATTTTATTATTATTATTGTGTGTGTGTGTGTGTGTGTGTGTGTGTGTGTGTATGTGAGGAAGATCAGCCCTGAGCTAACATCCATGCCAATCCTCCTCTTTTTGCTGAGGAAGACTGGCCCTGAGCTAACATCCGTGCCCATCTTCCTCTACTTTATGTGGGACGACGCCACAGCATGGCCTGACAAGCGGTGCGTCAGCGCGCACCCGGGATCCGAACCCGGGCCGCCACCAGCAGAGCATGGGCACTTAACCGCTAAGCCATAGGGCCGGCCCTCTCAATTTTTTTTTTAATCGGAAGATCTGACACCATCAGAGCCCCCACCTGGCTGCTTCTCCCAGGCTGGCTCTCAATGCATGTGGATTTAATCTGCTGATCTGGGTGGGTGGGGAGGGGGGGTCACCAATGGAAGAACTAAAGCAAGAAACAGTTTAGAATTTCCTTCTGAGAAGTGTTGGTGAGGATGGGGAGAAACTGGAACTTTTTTACCACACTGGTAGGCATGGAAACTGGGGAAATGATTTGGCAATATCTAATAAAGCTCAAGATACGTTAACCCCATGACCCAGCGATCTCACTCTGATGTACATACCCAAAAGACGCACAAACAGGCTCAACAAAACACAACCTAGGATGTAATAGCCCCTAGCTGGGAATGACCCCAAAGTTCATCAACAGTAGAATGGATGAATTGTGGGCCATTCACGGTGGAGTACTATACAGCAATGAAAAAGGACCAATCTGCCCAACACATACGAGTGCATGCAGCATGGTTCCACTTCTCAAAAGTAAATAAACAGGAAAAATTACGATGTTTGAAATCAGGAAAGTGGTTACCCTTGGGGAGGTGATGTCTGGGTCCTCCTAGGACCTGATAATGTTCCATTTCTTTTTTTTTTTTCTGAGGAAGATTTGCCTTGAGCTAACATCTGTTGCCAATCTTCCTCTTTTTGCTTGAAGAAGATTCACCCTGAGCTAACATCTGTGTCAGTCTTCCTCTATTTTGTATGTGGGTCACTGCCACAGCATGGCCACCAATGAGTTGTGTAGATCTGCACCCAGGAACCGAACCCAGGCCGCCAAAGCAGAGTGCGCTGAACTTAACCACTAGGCCACGGGGCTGGCTCATGTCCATTTCTTGGTCTGAGTGCTAGTTGCAAGTGTGTGTGTGCAGTTTGTGAAAATTCATTTCACCCAACACTTGAGTTGTGTGCTTTTCTATACTTATGTTATACTCCCATAAAAATTTACTTAAATTCACAATAACAGATGTCCTTGGCCATTTGGCATTGTTTACCAAATTCATAAATTTCACTTCTAGGAATTTATCTGCAGTTAAACTCATGGAAAATTACAGACGTGCTAGTACCTTCTGTCCAGCATTGTTTGTAAAAGAAAAGACGAGAAACAACCTAAATGTTGGTCAGTAGAGAACTGGTTAAATAATCTATGCAGGGGAGTATTACTCAGCTGTTAAAAAAAAAAAAAACAAAAGACAAAGGAAATGAGAGCATTCTTTATGAGGACCGAATTGAAATAGTCTTCAAAATGTATTCTTAATTACCTCAATGAAAAAATAAATTTTAAAAATTTAAAATCGGAGGATTCTGACTCAAAAAAAAAAGTATTGTTAAGAGAAACAAGAAACATAAAAACATTGTTAGTCATCTGTTATCATTTCTACTAAAAAGAAAAACAATTTGTACATATTTGCTTAAATCTATGTAAATTCTCCCTGGAAAGAAACACTGGCTGCCTGTGAGGAGGCGAACTTGGTGGAAGGAAGACTTCGTTTTTAGTATATAGCATCTTGTATATTTAGACTTTTGCATCCTCTGAGTATATTGCCAAAATTTAAAAATAAACAAAATGTGCAAAAGATTAAAAAACAAAAAAACTTCTGGGGAGAGGCACTAAGGGTGACAAGGTGCTGGGCGGTTTTCCATCATAAGCTTTTCTGTACAAGTCATCTGTTGCTATGTGTATTATTTTGATAACAAAACAAAACAAAACAAAAATGTTTTCAAACGTGTAGCCCTAGAGATCTACAAATTTGTCCTACTCCTTCATAAACCACCTCCAGCCGCTAGGGGGCAGTGTGTTATCATAATTAAAACCTTGGAGTCAGATATACTTGGATTCAAATTCCAACACTGCCACAGATAATTTATAAACTCCAGATAAAACAGAAAACGATTATTTAAAGGCACTGGAAAGTGAACAGAAGCAGAGAGAAATTGGAGGGGAACTGATACTCAGAAAAAAGGCAAGGCAGTGGGTGAGTTTCTCATTTGAACAGCTTTTAGCCTGGGGGCAGGTTCTAGTCGGTGCCACGAGGGGCACCTAAAATCCCAGGGGGAAATGCACAGTCTTCCAAGCCTGAAGCGCCACGGCAACAGGAAAGTGAGGTATAAATCCTGGAAAAGAGAAAGCCAGAGAGAGAGTACTCCAAATATTTTGTATAAACTCTGCTCAAATATCTAGCTGACTTTGAACCACACGTGCATGGCATACACTCCAAGAAGCCCAGCTACACCTGAAAAACAATGGAACTGAAATTTGAGCTACAAATTTTTCAGAAGAGACAGAGTTTACAGAGACCACAGTTTGAGTTCAACCAAGTTAATGGATTGCTTAGCAAAAAAATAATCAATACTCTTCAGAGGAACATAACGGACTCCAGAGTTTCTACAGTGTATCCAGGCTACAATCTACAATTACTCAAAATAGAAACAAATAGGAAAATACGACCCATTCTCAAGAGAACAGGCAATCCGTTAACTGAGACCAATTCTGAAATGACCTATATGTGGGAATAAGAAAAGGTCTTAAAAATAGCTATTATAGCTGTGGTCAAGAACCTAAAAGAAAATATGCATACAAAGAATAAAAAGAGGGGCTGGCCCCATGGTGTAGCAGTTAAGTGTGCACACTCCGATGCTGGTGGCCTGGGTTCAGATCCCGGGCGTGCACCCACGCACCACCTGTCAGGCCATGCTGTGGCGGCGTCCCACATAAAGTGGAGGAAGACGGGCACAGATGTTAGCTCAGGGCCAGTCTTCCTCAGCAAAAAGAGGAGGATTGTCATGGATGTTAGCTCAGGGCTGATCTTCCTCACAGAAAAAAAAAAAAGAATAAAAAGAAATAAAAAGAAATCTTAGTGGAGAAACAAAACAATACAAAAGAATGGAATAGAAATTCTAGAACTAATAAATCACTTTAGCAAGTTCACAGGATACAAGGTTAATATACAAAAATAATAGTATTTTATATTCTAGAAGCAAGAAACTGGAACATGAAATTAAAAAACCGTTTCATTTACAATAGCATAAAAATCGTAAAATACTTAGGGATAAATTCAACAAAAGATGTAAGACCTTTACTCTGAAAACTACAAAACATTGCTGAGAGAATTTCAACACTTAAATCAATGGGAAGACATACTATGTTCATGGATTAGAAGACTTAATATTATTAAGATGCCAGCTTTCCCTCCATTGACCTACAGTCTCACCCTGGGTTATTTCCATCTCTTTCCCCAAGAAGGAAAAAAATAATCAAATATGGGAGATCTATGACTTCATCTATAAGGAGATTTTTTTCTATTTTAGTTGTTTATGACTTTTTCAATTAATGGGCTTTATTTTTAAGAGCAGTTTTAGGTTTATAGAAAAATGAGTGAAAAGTACAGCAAGTTCCCATATATACCCCCGCCCCTGCCCCTAGTTTCCCCTATTATTAACGTCTTGCATTAGTGTGGTACTTTGATATAATTGGTAAGCCAATATTGATACATTATTATTAACTAAAGTGCACAAATATATTAGGGTTTGCTCTTTGCATGGTACATTCTATGGGTTTTGACAAATGTATAATGACACCTATCCACTATTACAGTATCACACAGAATAGTTTCACTACCCTGAAAATCAGGGGGATTTTTTGAAAGCAAACTTTTAAGTCTATTGTGCATAAAAGTGCACACATCATGCATGGAGAGCTGGATGAAATTTTACAGGCTGAACACCCCCTGGGAAGCAGTACTCAGATCAAGCTGAGCCCCCTAGAACCCCCCTCGGGCCCATTCCAGTGCTCCCCACCGAGAAGGAGCACCGTCCTGACTTCTAATCCCTAGGTTCGTTTTGTCTGTTCTTGAACTTTCTATAAATGGAATCATATGGCCTGTGCTCTTCTGCATCCGGCATCTTTTGCTCAGCATAATGTTTGTGAGATTCCTCCCCGTCATCATTCTTGCTTCTTGCTCTGTGCTTCCCCTGGGTGAAGGCTCCACGGAGAAGCATTTACCCCTTCTCCTGCGGATGGGCACGGGGGTTGTCTCTAGTTTGGGGCTATTACAGATAAAGCTGCTACAAACCTTATTTTGGTGACCTTGTTCTTACATTTCCGTTCAAGAGCTACCAGGAGCGGAATTGCTGGGCCAGAACTAAGGCATGTTCAACTCTAAAGGTGAATTTAACCAGTGGGCGTCATGGGGCTGCAGAGGGAATAAACGATGGACCATTCTCTCGCTGGAATGCCTGTTACCTTTCTCCTGTCCTTCCGCCCCTGCCCCAACTCAGCACAAAGAAGCTGGGTTAGAACCCAAGTCATCAGCTCACCGCCATCCTTCGCTCAGGACATTTTGTCCCCGTCTTTCTGGGTCTCTGCCTTCCTCTGGGTTTCTGCCTTTCTCTGTCCCAGCAAACAGGGAGCACAATGACCTGCCCACAGGCCTGTATGACATGAACCCAGCTGCCTCTCTGCCCTCACCTCTCGCCCTCTCCCCCTCGCTCACTCTGTTCTAGCCATACTGGCCTCCTTGCTGATCCTCCTACCAGGCCCACTCCTGCCTCAGGGCCTTTGCACTTGCTATTCCCTATGCCTGGCCCACTCACCTTCCAGATCTCCCCAGGGCTCATTCCCTCACTCCGTGTACCGGTGAGGCCTTTCCTGGCCACTCCATTACCAGAGCACTACCATCACTCACTATCCAGAAGGCAGAGCTTTCTATCTGGCTAGTTCACCGCTGGGTCCAAGCCGCTAGTTTTAGTTTGTCTCTAGGAATGCCCTCAAACTTTGTCAATACCCAGAGCCCCCTCCTCAAATGCCTTGTCCCCTCCTTGAGCCCACAGTCCCCCCGACTCCCAGCATGTTCCTTTCCCAGTCACAGCCTCCAATTCCTCCCCAAGGCCCCCGTCACCCTCTCAGAGAGACACACAGACAAGGCCCCAGCACTGGATTTTATTGCCTCCCTGGCAGAACGGAGGCGTCCTGGGGGCAGTGCCAGTGGACGAGTGCCCGGCCCACCCACCGGGGCAAGTGCGGGGCTGGGGCCAGGGCCGGGGGAGTGTTTCTCGTCTGTGCGACTTGAAGCTCAGATCTGGAGCTGGGGTGGTTAGTGGAGGCTCTTGGAGGCTGAGCTTGGGGTAGGAGTCCCTGGCCTGGGCTGGAAGATTCTGCCAGTGAGAAATGGGTGGTTTCTCACCCTCGGGGTCTGTGAGAGCCCCTGGGGCGGGCTGGGAGGGGCTGTGGTGTCTCAGGGAGAGAAGTTGACCCAGTGGGTCCCTGAGAGCCCAAGGGCAGGGGGACACGGGGGCTGTGTCAGCATCCTGCAGAGCCGGACAGGGCCGCGGTTGGGGGCCCCTCCTCGGGTCATCCCACGGGGCGACAAGGCTGTCGTGGGCGCGCAGGGGCTCAGAGCTCGTCATGGTGACGCGTCAGGTCCTCGCCGTAGTTGGTGGCCTGGCTGCCCACGAACATGTTCCAGTTGCTCAGGATCTCGGCTTTGCTCAGACGCCCGTCCTGGAGGGAGGCTCCGCGGTCAGCGGGGACGAGGGGCCCTGCCGGTGAGCCCTCTCGGAACCGAAGGACGGCGCTCCCGTCTCTCTGCGTCTCTGGCCCCCTCTCAGTCTCTCTGTCCCTCCTTCCTTCTCCACACGGGGACCCCGCAGCCCCGCACACCTGGCCCAGCATCACCCCCCGCCCCGCCCCGCGCACCTTGTCCGTGTCGCTCTCGTGCAGCAAGTGGTTGGCCTCCACCAGAGGCTGGTCCTGGGAGGGGGGCAGCACCCAGTGGCCCACCTCACCCCCGTCCAGCCGCCCGTCCTTGTTCAGGTCCCGGAAGTCCCGGAACTGCTCCCGCTCCGTCTGCACCCAGGCGGGCTCCTCCTCCCCGGGCTCCGCGGAGTACAGGTCCGCTGGGGTCGGGCGACAGGGGGCGCCGTCGGGGGCGGTCCCGGGCCGAGGGGGCTCCAGTCCCCGCTCTGACCCTTCCTGCCCCCGCGGACCTCGGGCAACCCACCTCTCTTCTATTCACACGGGACTAATAACAAAACCCGCCTTACAGGTCATCCTTACGCTGCACGTGAAATTGACTTGATTGACGGATTAGTTCATTGATCGACTGAACGATCAATCAATTTGATTGACACACACATGAAATACTGCGCGCGTGGTGTCGCGCAGTGCCTGGCACCCAGTGGCACCCCATACAAAGGATGAATGAGTGAAGACTTGTCTGGCCAGATAACTGGAGATACTGTAAAGCTAGACTTAGCACAGCTTGTCTCATTTTTGAACTCCCTCAAGACTGTCGGAGCCTCTCATTTATTTCAACTATTTGCAAATGTTTGAAAAACTCTCCGCCCCAGGGGCTGGCTTGGAGAAAGATCTACTCCACAGATGGATTTGGAAGACATTACAACCTGGAAGTCTTTTTACACCAGATACAACGCCATGATAATCAGGACGAAGTGCCTTCCTCCCCTCAGGGACCAGGCCAGGGAGCTGTCACAAAAATGTCACAAAGATGCGGGGAGCGCAGAGCTTCTTCCTCTTTTTTTTTTAAATGGTCCTAAGTCATCATTTCTTATAGGAAATGATGGCAATGGGAGATGGGAGTTGTGTGGGTTTTAAAAAATTGTGGTAAAAAGCACATAACCTACAATTCACCATTAGTGACATTCAGTAGATTCACAGTGTTGTGCAACAACCACCTCCCTCTAGTTCCAGAACATTTTCATCCCCCCAAAAGGAAACCCCATGCCCATTAAGCAGTTACTCCCTAATCCCCGCCCCCCCCCACCGGAAACCAGTAATCTAATTTCTATGTCTATGAATTTTCTATTCTGGACATTTCATAGAAATGGAGTCATACAATATTGTGGCCTTTTATGTCTGGCTTCTTTCACTTAGCATGACATTTTTAAGGCTCATCCATGTTGTAGCATCTATGAGTGCTTCATTTCTTTTCATGGCTGACTAATATTCCACTGTATGCATATACCACATTTTGTTCATCCATTCATCCATTGATGGGCATTTGGGTTGACCATACGTGGCCGTGCATGGTGGGTGCTCTACTCCCCGCATTTACAGATGAGGAAACTGAGGCTCAGAGAGGGCAAGGGACTCATTTAAAGTCACACGGCTGGAAGGTGGCAGGTGGGCACCAGGCAGGCTGGCTCCGGAACCTGTGCCCTTCAGCACAGTGCAACCCCACTCTCCCATCTTCCCTGACACCCCCAGCCCGGGGCAGGGCCTCCCTGATGTCCTTCCCTGCACCACTCAAAAGTTGAGAAATTACATTTCTTTGGGAGATCCTGGGGTCCTGCCCACATCTGTGTCCCCAGAACCCCACAGGGAAGGGGAGGAGCCTTGGGGTCAGCCTGCCTGGGCCTGAGGTGGTGCTGCTCCACCTCAGTCAAGTACCTCCCTCTGGGCCTCAGCTTTCTCATCTGTGAAGTGGGGTAATAATACCCATCTCCTAGGGTTGATGTGGGGGTTAAATGAATTCACAAGCTGTCAACCACCTAGAAGAGAGTCTAGCATGTGGTGACTGTGTCAGCTACTGTTATTATTCAACTGTGATGCTCAAGTTCTTTCTTACCAAAAAAAAAAAAAAAGACTTCTATCTTCCTCGCAGATGTAAAAAAACAAATTATGCTTAAATAAAAATATCTTGCCTGTGGGTTTGTTCCCTAACAACCGTCTATAGAAAAAATGTTTTCAAATTTTAAAAACTATTATGCTTAATAGCTTTCCCTTCAATTAAATTCTTTTCCCCCGCGGCAGGGACAGAGGCAGGGCCAAGGGGAAATTTGGGGGGTGTCATGAGGGCTCCCCAACATCCTGAGTAACAGGAGACACAGCATTTGCAGGTTCAAGACAAGCTCCCTGACTCGCCACCCCAAGAAAACGCAGCCCCTGGGCCGGCCCTGTGGCTTGGTGGTTAAGTGCGTGCGCTGCAATGCTGGTGGCCCGGGTTCGGATCCTGGGTGCGCATCGAGGCACCACTTCTCCATCCATCCTGAGGCCGAGTCCCACATACAGCAACTAGAAGGATGTGGAGCTATGACATACAACTATCT